CCAAACCGCGTTCATTGAACTCCGCGTGCGAGCGCGTTCATTGAACACGCATTCAAACTGTTCAGTTTCTGAATGGGATTTCCGCGTTCAATGAACGCGCGGTTTCATAGTCGCATAAGTCTGAAGCTTCGTGTTCAGATGTTGCTGTGGGAATCAGCGTTCTCCTTGCACAGCCAGTACGTTTTTCAGCCATTTTCCAAAGCCACGGCGTGCATGCTGCCACAACTTCCGGGGCTCGAGCTCCAGAGCAAAATGGCTGGCGCAGCCTGGCGGCACCAACCAATAGGAGGCCCGTGCTGATTCGTTTTATTATGCCACACAGGGCGTTTCCTCCCCCGGAGAAAAACGCCTTGGAAATACTGGTGCCTTGGAGCAGCATTGATTACTCCAACATTATGGTGGATTTCCACTAACTTTCTAGTTTTATCAACTTTTCACGTGGAGGATTTCCACTAACTTTCTAGTTTTTTTTGTCATGGGCCTCGCTCCACTATGCACCACACACACAAAAGACAACGGTAAAACTTCCCATGTTCCCACGTTTGAGCGGAAGATTCGTTCTCATTTTGCACATTTGGTGAGTAGCGGAGCGTGGGCCGATGTACGATGTAACGGAGGGGAGAAAGGAGGTTGGCACACTGATGTCAAACTGCCAGAAGTCATCAGTGCTTAGTACTGCTTACATGTTTACACATGTGGAGGCAACGCAGCTTCGCTTACCATCAGCAAAAAAAAAAAAAAAAAATGGTTGTGAAAAATGACAGTCCCTTATGAACCCAAAGCAACAGAGTTCCGACTCTTCAGAGTCTAACACAGATTGATGCAAAGCAGCGGGCTCGGTGTTGCTTCACCAACCAGATAAGAATCATTTTATTCTGTTCATCTGATTGTACCTGGATTCGAACTTGGGTGGGTATTTCAACAGTTCACGGGTGTATCGACTGAGCTCGGCCCGTTGGCAACCGATGCCTTTCATCGGACACCCCAGACACCTGCCTGGTGGCTGAGTGGCACACGCTGAAAAACAGTCCAATGGATGGATGGATTGATGGATGGACAGGAGGGAAGGACACAGGGATGGACGTCAGACCACATGGTCAGACCCGACAGACCCTACAGACAGACAGACAGAGAGAAAGACAGGCGGGCGTAATATGGACCAACATATCGACCAACCCATGGGTTGACAGATGGAGCAACCGACTGACCAAGAGATCATCAACAGAAGTAAAACACAGATCAAGCACAACTGTAAACTGACTCATTGAGTACGACGAAAGGAAAGACTGAAGCTTCAGTTCGCCTCTGGACGACAGATAGGAATCAACCAGCAACTGTCATAAGCCATTCAACACACCTATCTCGCGGCTGCATCAGAAGCAGCTAAAAATAGACGGATGGATGGACAGATTAACAGATGGACGGGGGCGAGGTCCCACCAGCAAAGACGATTGGATTAAGCATCTAAATCTGGACATGTTTTGAGAAGTGTAATGACCCGCCAAAAACACAGACTGAGAACACTGCTGATTTCTGGGATTTGCCGCTGGAATGAATGCCTTGTTGAAATTCCCGCATTCTGCTGTGATTTCCATGTCTGTGTGTGTGTGCTTGCCTGCTGGTTTGCATGCCTGTCTGAGTGCTTGTCGGTTGAGTGTGTGTGTGACCCGCAAGGGTACTTGTTGGTTGCAAGGCCCCGCAGGGCCGGTACTTACCTGTGGCCGTGACTGTGAAGGGTTGCAGGAGATTGGCGACATGCTACTGGAGCGCAGCGCTGGTCTGGTGCAGCGCTGCTTGGAGGTGAAGGGCCGCTGGCGCTCAGCCTGGCTATGGCGAGCAGTCCCGCTTGAGGAGGAGGAAGAAGGGGGCATGGTAGGAGAGTGGCGGGGCACTTACCTGGCTATGGTAGTCACCATCTTCATCACCTTGTTGGGCGCTGCATCTGGAAGGCCCCAGTTGGGGTAGTGCGGCACCAAGGAAGCTCGAGGCAGCGTCAGGCATAGCGGACCAGTCAGCAGCGGCATAGCTGCTTGGGTTGTTCTTTGGACATCAGCGCAGCACCATAGCTGCTTTGTGTTGTCCTTTGGACAGGAGGGCAGGGCCCTCATTAGTCCGCCATAGCCTATGCCTGAGAGAGGAGGTTGAAGGAGGGAAGCCATAGATGTGGTGGACTGGTTGTTGTTGTTGTTGTTGTTGATTGAGTTGAGTCAGCAGTAAGAGGGAACTTCGGATATTGATTCTGGTTCATCCATTCATTGTTATTATTATTATTGAGAGAAGAATAAGATTGGTGAAGAGAAGGAAGAGGAGGAAGGTGGAGAGAGAAGGGGGAATTGTCATTGGTCTTGCTGGTGCACATCTTCATCTTCTTCTTCTTCTTCTTCTTCTTCTTCTTCTTCTTTCCCTCTCCTCTGGTCTTTATCTCTTTGCAAGTGCTTTCATTTCTTTCGCAATTGGGTGGCATTGTCTTTCATTGTGAATTTGCACTTGGGAAATGACCAGGATCGTAACAGAAGAGATGCAGAAAAGCAGTTCAATCTCAAACTTCTGCACGTTTCCACAAGCATGTCCAGATTCAGGCATTCAATCCAATCCTCTTTGCTAGTGGGACGGGAATAACAGATGGACGAACGGATTGGGACACCACAAACTAAGGGCAGCTGGCTGTTAGGATCCAATATGCATGTATCTGGGAAAGTTCAACATTTTTCCGTCCACAACAAGGCCCAATCATTATATCTGTAACTGGCCTGAAAGTTGCACAAAATACAGCTATAGCGATCGGGCATTGTGTTTGGGAGGAGGAGGTAGTGTGAGATCAGATGTGTCCAGGAAAGTTCTAGTGTGAGCGTGCCGGAATTTATTTTCTGGAGACTTTCACTCTAGTGTGCATGCTCACATTAGAACATTTTTTGACTGAATCTGGTCGAGATTAGGCTCAGATGCATATAGTAAAGTCAAGGAGTAACCATGCCATAAGCTCTGGAAAATCGCATTTATTTCGCTTGGGCCAATTCTGTACAAGGGCCTCGCTGACCTTTCCACAGCTCCCTCTCAGATGTGCCTCAACGACAACACCGTCCAGCTACATGGGAATGGCCCTGGTCTGAGTACCGTACAGATACCTTGATGCAGGAAAGGGGGAAGAAAAGGGAGGAGGAAAAGAAGGAGAGTAGAAGAAACAGGGGATGAAAGAGGAGGAAGAATTCGTGAGACGTCCTACCATACGGATTGAAATGTCAACACAAAACCAGAAGGAGAAAGCAAGGATCAAAAGGTGCTCAAGAAGAAGAAGAAGAAGAAGAAGAAGAAGAAGAAGAAGAAGAAGAAGAAGAAGAAGAGAAAAATAAGAAGAGAAAAGAAGAGAGAAGAGAGGAGAGAAGACAGAAAGAAAAGAGAGAAGAGAAGAAGAGAGAAGAGAAGAAGAAGAAGAAGAGAGCAGGGAGAAAGAAGAAGAGAGAAGAAGAAGAAGAAGAAGAAGAAGAAGAAGAAGAGAGAAGAAGAGAAAAAAAAAAAGAGAAAAGAAGAGAGAAGAGAGGAGAGAAGACAAAGAAAAGAGAGAAGAGAAGAAGAGAGAAGAGAGAAGAAGAAGAAGAAGAAGAAGAAGAAGAAGAAGAAGAAGAGAGAAGAAGAGAAAAAAAAAGAAGAGAAAAGAAGAGAGAAGAGAAGAAGAGAGAAGAAGAGAAAAAAAAAGAAGAGAAAAGAAGAGAGAAGAGAAGAAGAGAGAAGAGAAAGAGAGAGAAGAAGAAGAAGAAGAAGAAGAAGAAAAAGAAGAAAATAAGAGAAGAAGAAGAAGAAGAAGAGAGAAGAAGAAGAAGGACGGTACACGGACGGATAAATGGATAGGAAGGATTCCTCCATGGGGAATGAATGAAAGGTTGAAATGATAAAATAAATTGCAGATTTCCCGGACCCCCTAACTCCTCATCATACATCCCGATCACGTCACCCTTAAGGATAATCTTGAAAAGATTCGACATGTCAGCTCACTACCTCCTCCTCCTCCTCATCATCCTTTCCACTTTTCGCTCTCTCATCCATTTCATCCCCTCCTGAAAAACTACTACAGCACTGCCGAAACAAGACGAAAGTGCGGAAGACAATTGAGCACACTTGACCGTTTCCAAAAAACGTGATTGCCCTTTTTAAACGAGCAAACGGATACTTTTTCTTTAAGCAGAACACGCGACAAACGTTTCACACCACGTCCGTTTCCAATTGCACGATCACTACCGTAACGTAACGGCCTCCGTTAGGCGTAACCATTGTCGTGTGTGTCTAGTCTATAAGAGAGAGTACAGCACCAAACCACTAACGTAACGGCCTCCGTTAGGCTTCCTCTCCCTTGTAGCACTGGATAGAATCTGCCGCCCGTCAACTCATTGACACCCAGGGACAGAGTACACGTGTACTCGCTCGGCTTGCAGCAGTGCACTGATTGTTTCTTATGTCTCCCGCAACTGGTGATGTTTCTTCTTCTGATGACTCCAGGATCGATTCTGGTGATGACTCTGAAAGATCCCCTGATGCTCCCGACCGATACTGAGGCATGTCATTATACAAGGCTCCAAAATAAGGCGTAGATAAACCATGTTCGTCAACCGTACTGCGTTCATCCCACAATCTGACCTTCCTGTCTCTCTCTCTCTCTCTCTCTCTCTCTCTCTCTCTCTCTCTCTCTCTCTCTCTCTCTCTCTCTCTCTC